CACACAATAGGCTAATTGACTGCAACTAGCCTGACACTGGACTCAGCTGCAACATGGAATGGAAACCCTGGACACTGGCTCTGATTTTAGCTCTACTGACTCCCCAGCTACACTTCTTCCAGGACTGGATTAAGGGAAATGGGACTTTGGAAACCCAGGGATGTAATTCCACAAAAATAAAAATCACTCATCCTCCCATGTGAGTCTCAGAAAATTCTTTTTCTCAAGAGGACTCCATCCCTAGGACTCAGTGGAGAAAGAAATACCCCACTTCCACTGATAACACTTTGAAAGAAAAAGAATCCTCTTAGAAAGTAATTCAATGATGATAATTTAAAAAGGGACATCTATCTATCTATTTATCTATCTATCTATCTATCTATCTATCTATCATCTATCTATCTATCTATCTATCTAGGGACTATATATATATATATATATATATATATATATATAAGCTTCAGCGACCAAACAACTGGAACAACCAGATAGACCGGAAAGACCAGTCACTATGATGTGCACTGACCACCAGACACTCAATACAGGAGCTGCCCCCTGGTGGTCAGTGTGCTCCCACAGCAGGAGAGCCACTCAGCTGACAGACCCGTCCTAGCGACCCACTGGCCCGGTGGCAGCCACTCCCTCAATAGTCCTGCAGTCCCAATTTCCAGAGAACAGGCCAGGCACCTATGGACCAGTGCCACTGGCATGATCCTGACTGCGCCGCCAGCCTCCTAGAAGACAGCCTCGGCCACTGTGGCCGCTTCCCCTCCCTAGACGCTCCGCAAGAAGAAAGTATAAAAAAGCGGCCACCAGGTGGCTCCCGACAACTGGTGCGAACATCAGTGGCATGAATCCAGATCCCAGGCTGGCAAGGTGGTCCCACCGCCCACCAGAAGGCCCGATTACATCCCGGCCCCCTGCCCCCCCAAATCAGGACCCCACCTGTGCACAAATTCATGCACCAGGCCTCTAGTAGAGTTTTATAACAGAAAATGCATTTAACAACTCTTTTGCCACACAATTAAATCATCCTTCCTTTAATAATTTCTTCTTATATTGGACTTTCAGCAAAGCTGAAAGTATATTAATCTCATTTTTTAAAGCATTCTTTGTTGGAATTGCTTTGGTGTTTCATATTTTCATAATCAACTCAGTATTCTCTTTGCTGCTTCCCATAAACTTACAAACGTCTATGAATGTGTCAATTAGTCCTTCTTTTGAATGTACACTCTTCTGTGAAGTATAATACATATTAAATAAAAAATAACATTGGTAAGGTTATTAGGCTGATATATCAATGACTGGCTTTGTCTGAGTTCCCTTTCTTCCTTCATTTCTTTCTTCATTTCTTCCTTTCTTCCATCCTTCTTTCCTTCCTTTTTTTCTTTCCTATAAATAAATGCACACACTCATATTTATATACATGTATACATATACCTTTATATATATAAACATGTGTTTATATATACACATGTGTTGTAGAAAAACTTTTCTTGGACTAAAAACGTTTATAAATGGTGTTATTTAAAAAGTAAATATGATCTTAGCCAAAGCAATTTATTTCTACCTATGTCCACCCAGTATCAATCACTTCAGTTTTCTTTGTTGAGTGAAAGAATGATCGGCTGCAGCTCGCCACACATCAGTTTCCTGAGATGAAACTTATTGTTAAGAACATGATGAATTTTTCCATTTTCTTGTGTCCAATCAGTCAGTTCATTGTCTGAGAGCACACCCCATAACTAAAGATGGCAGTTGTTTCTCTCGAGGTTTTCCCAGTAGCCTGTGCTTTAATACAGCTGCTGCTTTGCATTTGAAAACTAAATCAGCCTCAATATTTCATAGTCTTTTTTATCTTGGTTTTTATGATAATGACACGTTGGCTACAGAACTCTCCATTCAGAGAATCCAAACAGATTTTAGCACCTGTTAGCAGGTGTAGAAAAACAAGTGCATCATTTAAATATTTCCATTCTTTTAAAGTTGCTCATCTGTAATTAAAATCATTTTTTTTTCCATGAAAAAACTGCTCTAGAAAATAAAGTCAATCCTCATGTATTTTTATTTCATTGTTATAGTCTGTGAATTGTTAGTTTCCTTTCTGTAAAATCTCAATCTAACCATCTCTAAAATAGAATGGTATCATTAAGAGTTTTGCTGAGTCCTCAAATGGACATTTCTGTAGTAACAAAAATATCACAAATTTCTTTATGATTTACTGTCACTCTTGTAGTGAACGATCACAAAATTTGGAGTATAAATGATGCTGTTGAAATAACCTGGTTATTATTTAACGGGAGAGGAGGAGAGGGAAGACCAGATAGACACATGCCCAGGAAGGGCTGGGTGATGAGGGAAGGTGCTTGCCCATCAATCACACATGGAAACAGGTAATTGGCCAGAATAGTCATGGCCACCACATGTGTGCAAAACATGAATATTTAAACTTCTAAACAAACATGCACGCTCTTTTGGTTTTTACTCTCTTTCTCGGGTGCACCAGGTCCCTGGCTGTCCTGTGGCAGGGGGATGTGATCCCCTGTGCCCACGTGGCTCACAGCCATGTGGGACTCCACAGTGGACTAATGGACTTTAATTGGCTGGGATGCTGAACTACACCCGGCTGCAGCATAGAACGGAAGCTCTGGACACTGGCCTGCTTTGGGCTCTGAGAAACTCCCAGCTGCACCTCCTTCAGGACTGGCTTGAGGGAAATGGGACTTTGGAACCCGAGGAATGTAACTTCATTCAAGAAAAGCCTTTTCCCACATCTAATCTTTCTATGGGGGCTTCTGAAATTCTTATTTCAGCGGTACCCCAAGAACCAACACCTAGCTCCCATGAGTGACGGGAAGCCCGATTCTCTGTTAAATAAGGAGCAAGCCAAGTTAGGACTCAGTTACCAGGGGACACAGAACACTGTGTTTTCTAGGTTTGTTGTTGTTGTTTTAATTCTGGAAAATGAAGTGGTTGGCCTTAGTGATCTCCATGGCTGTTGTTGAATCTAAGTTTCTACATGTCAGTGTAACTTCTTTATAAAACCTGTTCCATTAGACAAATTCATGGTATGTTATTAATCATGAAAGAACCCAAAAACAAAATTATAATGAAGTTATTAACTATAGAAACATCAAGGATGCTATTTTGATTTTCTTTGTTAATATTGGGTGAATAGTTCTTCACTGGAATTGCAGTTGCAAAAGTATATGTATATTTGGGTTTAAAATTATATACATTTAAATATATTTGATACATATTTCATCAATGAATTAATAAAACATTTTTTGCTCAAGAATTGTTTTTTAATACTTTTTTATTCATTTCAGAAAGGAAGGGAGAGGGAGAGGAAGAGAGAAAGATAGAAACATCAATGATGAAAGAGAATCATTTATTGGCTGCCTCCTGCATGCCCCACAGGGGATGGAGGCTGCAACTCGAGCATGTGCCCTGACCCTGAATCTAACTGTGACCTCTTGGTTCATAGGTCAATACTCAACCACTGGGCCATGCCAGTCTGGCTCAAGAACTATTTATAGTATTTCTGTTTCTTTGTTTTCTAAGAAGTCATTTAAATGTCCATGGTACATGAATCATTAGCACAGAAATATGAACATCATATTTCTATTAACAAAAATAAAAATAAAAATCTCTCCATCTGTTAGAATAGTGAAAATTGGGATTAGGGGTACAAAGTTTGGTTGCAGAGCAAAAACCTGACATTAAAATGTAAATGGATTTTGCCTAGGGCTGGAATGGATGGGGGTATAGGTATACCAGGACTAGAAAGAGATGAATACAAATTTTCTTCCTTTTCTTTCTTCTTTCTTCTGTCTCCTTTCTCTTTCTTTCATTCTTTCTTCCTTCCTTTCTTTCTCTCTTTCTTATGTTTAACTTATTGGCAACTTGACAGCAAATGTCAACTTCACAAGTACATATAAGGATGCATAGCTATGTTTTTGGAAAATGTTCTGATTTCATAAAGAATTTCTATTTGGGTCTTCATTTACCTTGCCTGAACACACCCTTCTGTTTGACATGTAACCCCCAGCTTGGGTTACACAATATGCTCCCACTTCACCTTGTCTTTCAGAGATTTTTACAAATTTTTAGGGCCCAGTTCTCAGCTTTGATCCCTCATTCCACACTTTCTCTGAAAGATATTCCATTAATTCCCATAGCCTTAATTGTTAATACTTATAGAACAGTCCAAATCTTGCATAGTACTCAGACTTTAAATGTTTGTATGTACCTTAACTCTTTGTGGCTGATTTCAGAGTAAATTTGATTACAAAGTGTATTTAAGTTTCCTTTTTTACAAAATAGAAAAAAAGAGTGTATTTGCAGTATACTTTTAAATCTTAGGACAAACATGATACAACGTTTGAGAATGGTTAAAAGAGCCGTGGATATTATCCTGGAGAAAAACAAAAGATTTCCAGAGATATGAGAGTAACCTTCAAACAGTTTAAGGTAGAGATTCTAAGAATGGGGATATGCCTACATTTCTCATAAAATATTTTATAATCTGGAAATAGGTAAAGAAGTATTTCCAAACTAGTAATTTTTAAATAATATTACTCATTGTGAAATTCAAGGTGTTATTAAAATGATTCAGAAGATTTTTTGTTGTTCTTGTTTATTGAAAATTTGAGATACCTGTCATGTTATTGGAAGAACTTGAATTTTTCTCCATGTCATGCAAGTTTCTACCTAAAACCTTTGTTTGTGAGTTACAGTGAGTCAAAAATTTTATAAGCAAAAGAATAAATTGTTATACAATTATGTAATTTTTTTCTACCCAAGTGGATAAGGAAGGAGAGATTAACCTACATTTAATGTATTAGAAAGAGGACATCTATGAAACAAGTACTAAATGGTTATTTTTGTCTTCATGTTTATAATTCCATGTTTGGGCAAGACAAATAAGAGAAAGATATATTGTGGAAGAGATCCTAGTGTTGTAATATATAAAACCTTTTCTAATACAGAGGAAGTATGTTACAGGTCTAAGAATCTGATATGTCATTCTTAAAAGCCCAGTGGCCCAGCTGCCTCCTTCCTATCAGGTTTTACTAGTGCTCTGATGGGCAAAAGGGCTCTGTTACATGCTGTGACATCCCAGGTCTGTAACCCTTGGCGAGCCCAGGGAGGATGCGTGGCTGGCATCACATAGCCAGTCTCCATGGGAAGTGACTGCTGGGAGTGTGGTATCTGTGGCTCTGATCTGACTTTCAAGCTGATTGGAAAAAAAGAAAAAGAAAGAAAGAAAGCCCAATGGATTATACTGTATGTCCTTTCCATTTCATATTATTGAGTGCTTATTTAAAGCTAGATTTTGTATTTGGCACTTAAATAATGAAAGAGAAATAAAATATAGACTCTGCCCTATAAGAATTCATGAAGAAATTGGTAGGGGGCAAGATGAATAAAAATTTACCATTTAAAGAGACAAATTTACTTTTTTAATGGATTTAAATGCAGTATAAATGATAGTTATTTTTCATATATAGTCTCCCATATAAGTGCACACACACAAATTCTGACTATAGTTGTATGTGTGTACGGGTGTGAGTGTGTGTGTGTGTGTGTGTGTGTGTGTGTGTGTGTGTGTGTAGGAAGGGTCATAATGTATATATAGTTATAATCTTTGTGTAAAGGTATGCTGAGTTAGGATTTTACAGTAGCTATAAGTTTACATCCCCTTTGATTCCCTGTTCCTAATGAAAATGAGTTAGATGACAGTTGAAATCTAAAACCCATGTTAGCCTGAGAGTTAACTTTTCTTTTTCCTGCAACCCTACAAAAATACTGAAATAATATTATGAACATCTTAGAGTATATAAAAATAATTATGGTTATGAGTTTAAGAATATTTTAACAATAGGATTAAAAGTCATAGGTATAATGAATTAAATTCATAGTGTTGAGTTTCAGAATAAGTTTAAGTAAAAGAATCATGATATTGTGTACTTGTTATACAGTTTTGCATATATTTTAATATTTAAAGAATTTAAAATAGTCTATATATGTATAGATACATACAGATATGTATATGAGATTTCTATTTTAAGGTAATTTAGTTTATTTTTAACAATCTTTAAGTTACAAAAATGGCTTTCAAAATTTAATGTAATAAATTGAGAAATTGGTACAAATAGTGGCAAGTTGTTTTATATAGAAATTTTATTATAAATTATATTAGGTTTATCTGACTGTGACAAATAATCAACATAACTGCAAGTTAATAAATATTTTTAATTTTTATTTATACCAATAATAGAGGAATATACACAGTGTCTGGGATGCCATCACAGTAACAGTAATGATCAAACAGTAAGCTGCATGGGACAACAAGGCTGGCTGAGGTGGTTAGTGAGGGACGACCAAATGACTGAACAGCCTTTTGTGCACCAGGCCTCTAGTCTCATATAAGAGCCCAAGAGGTTTTATTAAGGACCAATTACAAAATCAAAATTAAAAAAAAAATTAATAATTTTAACAAGGTAAAAACCAAGATTAATTATAATAGTGCTGTACCAGAGAATGATGAACATAATTTTATCATATTTCAGGTGATATTTGTAGTGAATGTATGTAATGCCACTGAAAGGTACACTTAAAAGTGAATAAAATGACAAAATTTATGTTATGTATTTTTTACCAAAACAAAAATTAAGATCTAGTTCTGTTGAAAATTGGCCTCACTTGAGCCTTTGTATTAAAGTCACTAAATTCATCCCATTCCAAGATCTGGGATGATTTGCAACCTCAGAGTTTCTGAAGCTAATATAATATTGAATGTCAACTGTAACTGAAAAACAAGAATAACTTTTAACAATGCTAACTGAAAAAAAATTCTGTCAATTTAAAAATATTATATCCTGCAAAAGTATCCTTCAAGAGTGTAAATGAAATAAAGATGTTTTCAGATAAAATTTATTGACACCAGAGAGTAATAAAAGAAATGATAAAAGAAAGTTTTTTAGGCTGAAAGGAAATGAAATGAGACTATTCAGGAAGGAATTAAAGGGGCCAGAAATGTAAAAGATGTTTTTCTATTGTCTTTAAAGTACATTATGGTTTACTTATTAAGGAAACACAATAATATATTGTAAAGATTGTAATACATATTGTGATTATATCATTAAGACTGGGAAATGGACCCAAATACTGTAATATTTCTTTATTTTACTTACACAGATAAAATATTAAACATAAGTAGAATATCCTGAGGGCATGTACAAATAATTGCAATAATAATTTTTATTTGTATTAATGAGTTAGATGAATATATATGTGGATACTAGAGGCCCAGTGCAAATTCACTGCGCCCTCTCGCAGTCCAGGACCCCTTGGGGTATGTCTACCTGCTGGCTTAGGCCTGCTCTCCTTTTGCAGTCTGGGAGCCCTCACTCCTTACCATTCGCCTGCTTGCTTCTCCTTACCGCTTGGCTCGCTGCTCCTTAGCATTGCTGCAGAGGCAGGGAAGGCTCCTGCCACTACCACTGCACTCACCAGCCGTGAGCCTGGCTTGTGGCTGAGTGGCACTCCCCCTGTGGGAGAGCATTGACCAGTAGGGGGCAGCTCTTGCATTGAGCGCCTGCCCCTGGTGGTCAGTGTGCATCATAGTGACCGGTCATTCTGGTCGTTCTGCTGTAACAGTCGCTTAGGCTTTTATTATATAGATATATATGGTTCATATTGGAATAATTAGGTAAATGATGCACCTTAAACTGTAGGTGGTACAAATGGAAAACTATTTCTCAGAAAGGTTTTCAATGGGAACACCCATAAAACAAAATCCCTTCATAGTACTGCCACAATGACACGTCTTGTAATGTTACACAGAAAAGTGGTGTAAAAATGCTGGACCTCAGTGTATGAATTGTAAAGATATTAGAACACAACCAGTTAGGAGCATATCAATTATAACTTTGTAATGACTATATAAATGATATTGAAAGGAGTTTTTAGGGGTAAAATAGGCAGGTTTGGGGAGTTTTGGTAATAAAGTGGGTTCATGGGGGAGAAACGCAAAGCTGGGGGGCTGGAAGCTGCCAAAAGGCAAACATTCACAAAGAACTAAAGGCACCACAGCCTAAAGGGAGAGGAATATTCCCATTTACAGGAGACAAGGGGAAAGCCCCAGGGAGTAGAAAAACAAAATGGAGAGCAGGAGGAGGACCCTATGTGCGGTTTAAGCTCTGAAGCTGCTAGAGTGACCAATCAGAGGGGATATCAGGACACAAAGAACTGCAGCCTTTATAAACCTTAGGAAAGAGGGACTTAGTGGATCTCTCTCCCCTTCCCCACCTGGGAGTCTGCTTTTTTCCCCAATAAATCTCAACCTTTTCCTAGGATACCTTTTGTCCGTGGCTTCATTCTTCACCTGGACAAGAACCTGGGAAATCACCTTTGCATCCTACCCAGAGGAAAACAACACATTTCAGTTTAATTTCCGCATTTCAATATAGTTAGGTATGAATCTTTTAAATAAATAAAACTGTAGTATAAAGATATAAGCATGCTCTGTTATCCATGGAAGTGGGGTTCTTGGGGTTTCTTGAGGAAATGAATTTACTGAGGCCTCCTTGGGAGGGTGGGATTTCATAGAAAGCTTTCTTAATGATGTAAAATTAAGGGAGTTCTCCTTCAAAGTCCCATCTCTGTCCATCTTGTCATGGAAAAAGTCCAACTGTGTCTTCAGCAAGGCCCCTGCCCATAGTTTCTGCTCCATATTAAAGACCAGTCCAGTATCTGGATGGCTTAGCTTGTGTTCCCAGCTGCAGTCCATTGCGTCTGGGGTCCATCCACACGGCCATGGGCCATGCAGCTGCTTAAGGCCACATGGCTCTGGAGAGAGAACAGGCAAAAACATGGACGAGTGTGGGTCATAGAGCAAGAGAGAGCCAGAGCAAACAAGAGAGAAGAAGAGAAAACAAGAGAGAGGGAGCTCTTGGTTTTGCCCAGGACAAGAGAGAGAGCTTGATTTTACCAAGGAGCTTCTTCAAACTAATCAATTAACTTTCCAAGGTTCTGTGCTCTTATGATGGGGTCCACCCCATAGCCAATCCGTTCCCCAGGCTAGACTGACAGGCAAGCACCTCCCCTGTGCCACCTCTACTTCCACTGTGCTCGTGCCTATCTCCCCTTTCTCCCTCCAATAATCCATACCTGAAGGGGGAAGGGAGGGTGTTAATCCCCTGGGAAGAACTATGTTATGGAAAGCTGTAGCTTTCCGGTGTAACAAAAAGGCTTAGGCTTCCCAGCTGAATATGCTCAGCAATGTCTGACTCTCCCTTTGCTCTCTTCCTATTAACTAGCTAATCAGGACGATAATGATACTGTTATAATAATCAAATTATTATTAAACAGGAGAGGAGTAAAGTGAAGACTAGATAGTATAAGCATGCCCTTTATAGTTTTACTAATTTAACACTCTCCAAGTCTGTTCCTTGCTGATCAATGGTGGAAGAAACTGGACAAAGACAGTTTAGAAACATTCCCAGTGAGGTCTAAGTGATGTGGTAGGGGCCTTCCTGCCTGTCGGTCACATCCAGAAGGCAGTCAGTGGCCAGAATAGGTGTGGCCACCAGAAGGGCACAAAACCCGAATATTTAAACTTCTGAACAAAGGAGCACGCCCTCTTGGCTCTTGGTCCTTGGAACTCTTGGAACCCCTGTTGCAGGGGGGCATGTGCTCCTGCATTCGCCCAAATGGCTCATAGCCCTGTGGGATGCACACAATGGACTGATGGACCTCAGTTAGTCTAATGCTGGACTGGACCCGGCTGCAACATGAAGCAGAAGCTCTGACACCGGCTTTGCTTTTGGCTCTACTGGAACCCCAGATGCACCTCTTTCAGGACTGGGTTAAGGGATATGGGACTTTACAACCCTACGAATGTAACTCCATGCAAATAATTCTTTTACCATGTCTCATTCTCCCATGGGGGCTTCTGAAAATGCTTCTGAAATAGGAATTTTTAGGGGTAAAATAGGCAGGTTTAGGGAATTTTTAAAATTAAGGGGGTCCATGGAAAAAGCACAGGCTGCAAAGAGGCAGAAGTTACATTTCCATAAGACAAGGGAGTTGAGAGAGGCAGAAGTTACATTTTCATAAGATAAGGGAACTGGGAGTAGCAAAAGTTCTATATTTACAAAATAAAGAGGGAGGGCCTCACATGTCCCATGTGAGGTTTGATCTTTGAGATCAGGAGTTCTATAATGAACAAATCAAA